AAACGTAAAGACAATAATATAAAGATGTTATCGATCTTACCTAGAATCCAAGCGTAAATAAAATATATGAGTGTAATTAGACCTTTTTAACTATAATCATCTGTCTTCTTTCATTACAGCGTAAACACAATCAGTCAAAAAGAGACTTATAACTACCACAGAGTTGTCAATAAATTTACCGCTTAAATTTTTATTTACCCATTCATTATAATTGTAGACAACCTCTCTCATAACTTAGTTTCCACTTAAAAATCGGTTGTCTGTAAAGTCGGTTTACTGACGATAGTTGGACGTGACAACGTCATAAAAAATATTGATGGGATGGTTGCATTTTTCAAAAAAAAAAATTAAATGAAAATTGTTTGATAGGTATTTTGTATGGATATAGAGAAGGAGGTAAATGGAAATCACAATTGAATTGATCAGTTACATTTATTTGTACGCATAAATAAATTATTCAATTTTAAATGTAACCTCAGAGGAGTACTAGAGAGAGGTAACCTCAGAGAGTTCAGAGAGTAATGATATGTTTTTTGTGTAGAAATAATTCGTCAAAATATACGAAGTTCGTAAAGTTTCAATGTTATTTATCGACTTGTTTTGATCGTTTTGTCTTTGAAAACTTTCCAGAACCTCGACTGACTGTTCGATACTATTTTGTTACATCTCTATTAGGGCTTCTTTCACACAAGATTGGATTTCCTTAACTGTGATCTAGCCCTGACACTGGTAATGTGTGTATATATGTTACAGTTAACACTAGTTTTTAGTTAAAACTCGTTTTCCCTAGTTAAAAATAGTTTTTACTAAATGCCTTTGTCAAAACTAGAAATAACAAGTGAAAACTAGAATTTACCACTGATATAATTCATTTTCTGATAAAACTAGTTGTCACTCCGAGCTTTAGTTACAACTAACACTAGAGAAACTAATTTGAATTTTGGGATTGAAAACAAGATAAAGTTTTAAAAATATTTATTAAAAAGATCTAGGGTATAGAAACATAGTACCGTACCTAGTAAAAAAAACTTACACTAAAGGAACATTTTAGGGGAACATCAGCATAAAGTAGTTGCCAAGGTGACAACATTAATTAAAAGTAAATAAAATAATCAAACAAATCAACAGAATACAACCATAAAATTTAAAAAAGGAACATTATAATAATATTTTTAAGGGATATTGGTAAACATACAATAAAAAAATAATCAAACAACCTTAAAATTAAAAAAAGATGACGATCTACTTGTTATTGCAAGACAAACTATGTGGCATTTTGAATTACAAAAGGTAGCCATTTTTCTTGCAGAGACACCTTTTTGACATACATCCTTTCTTACATACGCAGCGCATAAATCCCTGGCCTGTTCCTATGAATGCTTCCTTAGCAACATTCTCAAAGTAAATTTGTATTAGGAACGTCTTCTTCATGCAAAAAATGCCTTGGTCGGAACAGTTTTAACTGACTAACTTCGAAAAAACGCGTTTTGTCTATAATAACTAGTTTTAACTGATATTCAATTTAGATTAGTTAATTCTAGTTTTAACAAAGGCGTTTAGTAAAAACGCGTTCTAACTAGGAATAACCGTTCTATCTAAAAATTTTATGTATATACACACGCATTGCGATATCCATCCAAATGACATAAATTCTTGTTTTAATATTTTTAAGCTATTCGATTCGAGTCTTTAGGATGATTTATTACTACTATGGGAGCGTTCAAGTATTACGTCACGCAATTTTTGGAGATTCTTGCCCCCCCATGTTACGCGCCGTAACGTTTTTCTTCTGTACTCAATAGTAAAACATTTTGTGACCAACCAGTGACTCTTTATACCTAAAAGTTATCATTTTGTCGTGTAAAGTACCGGATAGTCAAAAATAATATTAACAATTAAATAAATAACGCGTAATTTAATTCCCGCCCCGCATCGTAACGTTTTACAAGAGGTATGACACCGAAATTCGTTACATAATACTTGAACGCTCCCTAAGTTCACTAGCACATTACGTACATTTACGTGCTGACACATTCCGAATTGGTTTTAAAACTGGTAGTATTACGATTTTACTTACGAGTATCACTTAACACACTTTAGGATTATTATCACAGTTATTATATTCCCGTGCCCACGTTTCAACACGCAAGAAAACAAATAGGAATGTAAAACAAAAGAAACAAAAGTTTAATTTGAATTGGTGAAACGGAACGTCGCGTTTCTACGATTGGACGAGAGACGACATTGACCAATCAAAATCGAACGATGACATTTGACATTATTGGAAACGTACATCATTCGTCCAACGCTTTTTCTCTTTCAGAGGCCCACTGTAACCACTTTCTCAAAAACTAAATTTACACTATCGATTCAAAGCATTCAATCTTAAAGAACTATCTTGTAAACCTATTAAGCTTAAAACAAAATTAAATTATGTAGAATTTATTTCTTCAAGTACCAATCATTTAACAAATGGAAGAGACTAGCTACCCACGCCTCAGGGAATCCTAGTGGGGGTACATCTTTTTTCATTGTACTATACAAAATGTAAATTTTTCGTCAGTTTTTTAATTATATATAATAAAGTTTTCTTTCTAGCATGAAAGCGGTTCACTTTTCGTTTAACATTTCCATTTCCTTAACAATTTTATAGTATGAATACATAAAACGGAAAATGATGATACCGTTTTTCATACATGAAAGGAAATTGATTTATGTTTTCTTTGATTTGGTATTTATTAATATAATTTGTTATAATTGAGAGGTAATCATTCATTTTCTTTGTGATGTTGAATAATGTAGGGCCATTTTGTAGATATATTAGGGATGTGTTTATTTATTGTAACATGAGCTATAATAGGACGGACCTTTGCCGTAAATGTTATTATTAATATACTGAAAAAGCCTGCTAAAGGCTCTCTGAGGGAGGATAGGACGATGTTTAGGTTTAAAGAGAATTATTCCCATTAAAAACATACATTGCACGAGAAAAATAAATGAAAATCATCAAAATCCGTCTACCAATAACATCGCAAGCGTATTTGAAGCGGGTCTACTATTATTTCCCGTATCTCCCGTATCCGAAGCAAGCTATTGTAAAGACTCGCTCCGAAATAGGTTATATTTTTGCGACCGTTTTCGGTTCTGATTTTAGGTTGATATCCGAGTATATTGATAACTATATTCGAGGATTTTTTCCAGTGGATTTAGTCTTTACATATAATATGTTAAAGTACTTACGCCATTTTTGATACATATAATTGTAGATTTATGCTATGCGCTCTACTCATTCTTAGTCGTCTCTATGTAGACAAACAAAAAAAACACAAATAAATATTTCTGCTTTTAAACCACACAGCTTTAGACACCATGTTTGTAGTTTGTTTTTTTGTGTAGTATAGTAGAGGTAGAATAGAGTAGCTTTAGACATTTATCTTAAATATTTAGCTATTAAATTGGTTGAATAATTCGTTATTAATCAAGGCAATCATTGAACAAGACGAAGAAAAATCCGACTACCAAAAAAGGTTTTACTTTTTGTGTATTTTTTTTATTTTTACATGGTTTTATTTAGCTCACCCGTTTGTTTTATTCTTGGGTCAAATTTAGTAATTCAAATTTCACCCTCTTCCTGTCAACCGATTAATCTGAAATTTTGTATACACTTTGATTTTGGTGACAATACAATAAACTAAATAAATAAATAAATAAATATTATATAATATATAACATTATATTAAAAACTGTATCTATTTTATTAATTAAATATATATTATATTTGTATTATAGAATTGATTTATTTATATAAACTAACGGGCAAGGAACCTTGCAATAATAAGCACTAAATGAATTAAACAGAATGCGAAATAAAAACTAAAAACTAGAAAATAAAAATAGGTAAAAAACTTTTTAGTTAAACGGTTTTATTTAAAATACATTGCAATGTTTAAGATAAATGTATAAAAACAAAAAAATAATAAAATAGATACAGTCGTGGGAATTATAAACATATATAGACTAGACTAAAATAAAACCGTGGGGCATGTCAATTGTCTGTTGAAACGATTCCTCGCCAGCCAGCAGTGTGAATGTCCAACGATAAACTAGTTGAAACATCTCTTTTATTTAATGGAGTGTATAATATTGAATTTCATGAGCAAGAAAATAGTAAGTAATTTTGACGTTGGGCCAACTCTATTTTAACGACGAATTAAAGATTCTTCTATACATTAAGTGATAATTTGTAGAAATTGATGCCCACGGTTTTATTTTAGTCTAGTCTATATATGTTTATAATTCAGATGTATTATTTTATTATTTTTTGTTTTTAGTACATTTATCTTAAACATTGAATGTATTTTAAAAAAAGTTTAATTAAAAAAGTTTTTTTTATTTTTACATATATAAGTTAAGTAACAATACGTACTTAAAAAAATAAGTTTTTTTTATTAAACATTAACATACATTTTTCGTTTACTTAAACATTAATTTGGCAATTTTATGTGTGGGCAACACGGCACCATATTTTGTTTATAGATATAGTGATGAGATAATTTTCGATTTTCTCGTCGAATTTTCTTTCAACAGAATGCTGATTCCCGAGTATGCGATATGATAAATTTATACAACTAAGTTTCCTTATACGATAGTTATCAACTATCAGGATTATGCACTACTTTGATATACTTAGGAATGTTATATGAATATGACAGGTAATTAGTCTGTACTAAGTATAACATAATGGTTGCTTTTAAAACATGTCAAAGGAGAACTTTATTGTATAGAAGACATAAAAACATTACCTTTTACGCTTCAAAAGCTTTTCGACTTTTGCTAGTACACCTTTTTTTACTCACAGAGCCTAATCTAGTGAAATTACGCGTTGGAAGATAATAAGAATTCAAACCAAACCCCACTTTTGAAGCGTAACTTATAAATATCGCATACTTGAGAATCAGTGCACCGTATTGCCGATACAAATCGTGCACACGTACTGACAGATGGCGTTCCTGCAGAATCGCTCTATATCCCTGGTCGACATGTATATCGATAACACGGAGCCCTCAGAGAATGTGGGCCAGATTCACTTCTCGCTGGAGTACGACTTTCAAAATACAACCCTGATTCTGAAGATTATACAGGTAAAAATCTCTCGGCAGGACGTCTCCACAGATAAAGAAGAAAGCCGAAATTCAATTAAACTCTAATGTACTAAATTGGACCGAAGATTTTTTTTTTTATGGCTCTGGCACGATTTGTGCATTAGCCAGCGTCAAGTATAGGATTTATTATAATTCGTGCTTGTCTTTTTTAGAAATTCGACCGGTTTAGACCATGTACGGTTTAAGGCACTCCCCCGGTACCGCACAATCCTCCCAAAGGCCGAGAACAAATTTAAATTAAATTAAAACTTGCCCTCGAACCGGAAATCGAACCCGGTACCCCTCACCTAGCTGCCACTTAATAAGTACATTACATAAATATAAAACTGCAATCAATTGTCAACTGTCAGCTGTCAAATTTTGAGTTAGCGCCAATTCCAATTTGTTTTTATCAATTAAAGTTTTTAACCAAATAAATGGATAAATTAAATTATCACGGACAAGATTGTAATAATTTCTTTGTTTAACAAACAAATTCAATAAGTTTAAATTATGAGTTCAGCTAACATGCACATATATTTTGTTTGAAGAATATATTACAGGATCACGAAGTCTTTGTTTTGTGTTATAAAATATTGATAATACCATTTTATTTCTCTTTGTAAAGGTGTTACGAATATCTTTGCTTACTTTTGGTTCCCAACTTCAGTTTTGTTATTAGTAAAAAGCCATTTTCGTTAGTTCTATTTTATTCATGACCATTTATCAATGCCCATTTGAAAATTTTTATCTTCTTATGTAGTAAAAGGCTTTTATGTTATTATGAATTACGTGTAGGATATAAGTATTTAAGTTGGTTATTTCAGTTATTGGTTTAATAGAGAAATCTTTGCAAATAACTATTACAATCAGTTTTTTGAAGTGAAACTTCTTTATCGGGGTTGGAAAAAAATTTAGTGTAACATTTTTGCGTTACGCGTCACATTTTTCCGTTACGCGCCATGTTGCCTTTTGAAGTCAAACTTCTTTATCGGCGTTAAAATATGACATATAGTATGTTTTTGACTTTGAAGTTTGACAACGGATTACATTTTCGACTTGAAATTTGCTAATCGCAATTTGCAGCAATTAATTTGTTAATTGTATGCTAGGCAGTGTATCAAAATTTACTGTGTTTAAAGAAATAGTTTCTAATAAGGTCATAAAGAAGTTTCACTTCTTACGTGTGTACACCTAGTACACGCACACATTTTTATTTTTTTGGTACATTTTTCAATATGACTTTAAATTTAGCTTACTTTAAAGAGTTTAGAGGGAAATTATATCAACATAATTCAGGGTAAGGAGCTCCCAGCCAAGGACCTCAGCGGTACATCCGATCCCTACGTGCGTGTAACCCTTCTACCTGACAAGAAACATCGCTTGGAGACAAAAATCAAACGCCGTACCCTCAACCCGCGATGGAATGAAACGTTCTACTTCGAGGGATTTCCAATACAGAAGCTACAAGCCAGGGTAAGATTGCCTTTGTAGTTCTACAAGGTTGCATACCTTCTCCTGTTTTTTTCAATATTGTATTAAAGCGTGTTAGTCAATTTTAATTTTGGTTCGAAATATTACGAAATATCTGGGCCGCAAGAATAAAGCTATGAAAAAAAATGTCAAAATCATTTATTAATATATACGTAGGTAACAATGTAAATTTACACATATTAAAGATAGATAGCTATTAAAGAAGATAGATTAACCTATAAAAGGATTACATCTTAAGACCAGACTTCAAAGTTTTTCTAGAAAGTTTTTATTTGATTGCGTATGTTGTTTCTCTTTTACTTAATTAACACTTAAAATTATAGGCAGGATTCTTAGACTTAGACTAAGTGCAGTGCCGGCCTTTTATTTATGTAATTAATTCGTATAGCACCGTTTCAGAAAGTCGTAAAATTTTCGTTTAATGCATCGAATTTATAGTATATAAATATATGTATTTTACAGCACAAGATGATAATTTAACTTAGTTTATAAATACAAAAAAAAGAACAATAACTAACCTTAAAATAGGAGTCCCTTTAGGCAAAGTACCTAAGATACTGGCAGCGTTCCCCTTTTGAATAGCTAAACTAATTCTTTGTCCGAGGTAGCTGCCAGTTTTTCAGTCTCCTGTGATGTCGACTAACCTTTTTGCTATTTCCTTAAAAAGCCTTATAGAGCTAGGACCCCACGGACCAAGGGTCTCGACACCGAATGGGACAAAATTATATTCGGAGCCTAGATTTGCAGGCTTTACCTTTAATTATATTTAGTTAAATATTTAAATGTGATGTACTAGTAAATAGCGGTTAAATTTTCTAAACCCTCAAAACGCGGTCAAAAGTTAAAATAGTTGAAGCAAGATTTTCAAGTTAACTCGTCTGCGAAATCCGGAAAACGTCCAGCTTGCTCAAACTTTACGATAAAGTTGAGTTTTTAACGTTTCAAAGGGAAAGTTTAAATGCTTTGTGTTTCATGTTCATGCGGAAATAAGGTGTCACCCTCTCTGAGTTAAACGGAAATTTGAATTTTCTTGAAGCTGCACGAATTGTTATTCAAGAAATGTCACATTTTTATTTAAAAAATTGTGTTAAGTGTCACCGGTCAAAAAAAAACTTTTAAAAATTATGTCGATCAATAGGCAAGGAGGTCATTTCGATCACCTTGCCTATTAAAAAAACGCTATTTTTATTTCTGGATTAATGAACTATCCAACACAAAGAATACTTTAATTTAATCGTTCCTGATATTAGCTATTAAATTATTAATTTAGTCTAAATCAGTCTTTCCCAGCTATTTGTGTGCCATGCCCAAAATTCTTATGGCCAGAAACTTAATTTTTTCGCTAAAATAAACGCATTATTTAGACGATAAATTTAAAAAAAAGGAAATAAGTAAAGTTATTAATCCCAACTGTTCCCTAAGAAACTTACATCTTAGGTAAGGAAATAATTACTAGGATTGTAGTGAAAGACAATTAGTAAATTGTCAAAACATAATGCAAATTCCAAATAATTTTAATAAATTCTTGAATAGCCCCTTAACAAACAAATTGCACCCCTGTGAGACGTGTTTGGGAAATACTAGTCTAGATGCTGATAAATAATATTTTATAATAGACTAGTGGACCCCACAGACGTTGTCCTGCATGATATTTAAAGCGATTAGGATATTAAGCAAAGTATGAAAGTACCGACTGCAGTGCCATCTGCCGGGCTGATTTGTGAATCTAAACCATTCCCAGATCCCCTTGAACACACACAAAAATTTCATCAAAATCGGTCCAGTCATTTGAGAGAAGTTCAGTGACATACACACTCACAGAAGAATTATATATATTAAGATATAGTATAATAGAAATAGTATTTGCACATATTACACATATTTCAGGTTTTACACCTACACGTCTTCGACTACGATCGCTTCTCACGGGATGACTCCATTGGTGAGGTCTTCCTTCCTCTTTGTCAGGTAAGTTTCAAGTCCCAGAACCAGTCCCATGGTCTTATTCCCCATTTAGCATAAGCCTAAATTCAGAAACTAAACTTAGCGCGAGCTGTCTCCCGTCACAACCATATTGGATTTCACTCTTAACGCAAAATTTCGTTTCTGAATATCCCACGCATATCAAAAATATTAATATTATTTTATTACGTGTATCTGATGCAGAGTATTGCCACCACCGAAGAAGTGTGGGACACATTTCTGCTTATGTACTATTGAATGATTTTATTTAATTGTTTATATTACTATAACTGGCACAGCCGTAACAGCTCTCTGTTTCTGACAGCTCGAATATAAATGTCATTCCAACATTATACAGCTAGCTTTTATACAAAAATTCTAACAATTCGGTATTATTACTTTGACTATTTTAGAGTGTGTTTTCGAGATACATCTCTGATTATAATCCAAAATACTGATTATAATACAAAAGACCTCAAATAATGCTGAATAAATTTAATATACCACCTCATTCTATTAAGTTATCTCAACAAACAACTTTGACAAACTTTAAACGCCTGTGAAAATTGATGAGCAAAACAACACAAGTCTTCATTACACTGACAGGTTTAGAAAGTTCAGCCAAAGTTAAATCTTACGTTTACGTAAATAAGTTATTGTAATTATAAAGGTGACTTGTTAATTAATGCGATTCATTTAGTTCAAAGTTGAATATATATTAATCTTATCAATTTTATATGTTTCCACTTAAGTTTAGTCGACGTATAAAAAATCAAAATTACAAAAAACTTTTGAAGTTAAAGATACAATACCCAATGGCGGGAAATTAAAATGCGTAGGTTACGCCTCACAGACTATGAATTTTGTCTAAACGTCAAATCTACAGAAGTTTATTCAAGGAGGGTTTAACATTTTAAGAATATAAAGATGTAACTCTTGACAAATATTTATCAAACATTTTGGCTAATATTACTTGTTATACAATATACACTGTTATACTGTATGTACATAATAAAGACAAACCAAAATAATTTGACAGTCATAACAAGCAAGTGATTGATATTAAGTTTTGTTGTCTTTTTCGTCATAGACAATTCCATTCTATATGCCCGGTTTACAAACGATCACACGATGTTATTACTTACGAGTATAAGATTTTTTTTAATATCCAAAAGCTATATAATGCCTGTTTATACGATTGTCATAATTGTGTGACTGCGACTATACGAGTATATTTCTTTCTTACCCTTGTTAGGTAATCGAACATCAATTGTTCTGTAATTTTTGCTACGCAATTTTTAACAGGCTTCCGATTAATTCTGAAAAGTTTTCCCCGACATTGTAAGGATTTCAATGAATTGTAAAACAGTGGAAATCCGAAGTTCACAGAGATGGAAAAAAGAGTTGTCTTTGCTGTACTCTTTCCCCCAAACTATAAGACACCATTACAAGACGTGAACTAAAGTTAGTACGGTGTTACAATGGCTATCGTCCTTATACTGAAAAAACATCGTACTTATTAATGCATGTTAAAAATGCTGAAAAAAAATCGATTTATGTTGTTATGTAAAAACATAAATAAACAACAGAAAAAACTTCTTCACAATTCTTTTCTTTTTTTACTGTTGTCTTTCATTAGAGGTGCCTGGAAGAGATCGCTTAGTAGCGGTAAGGCCGCCCGTAGTTTTCACTGTTTTTTTAGTTTATTGTTAATAATTTAGTGGTAATAAAGTGTAAATAAAAAAACACCTTATCTACTTCTAAAATCACGGACTGAATTTTCAGGTTGACTTCAGCGAAAAGCCTTCATTCTGGAAGGCGTTAAAGCCTCCAGCCAAAGACAAGTGTGGTGAGCTTTTGACATCACTGTGTTATCATCCCAGCAACAGTGTCCTGACTCTGACACTGCTTAAAGCCCGTAACCTGAAGGCGAAGGATATCAATGGAAAATCTGGTGAGTCGGAAATCTGCTTCATTTGTCTTTGCACCGTTAGACCGGTGATTTCACCGAACTCACAACCCTGGCGTAAATTAATAATTATTCCTAAGTACGCAATTATTGAAGTGAAACTTCTTTAGGCGCTTGATGGTAACATTTTTACGGATACGTCACGAAGATGTGCAGCGTTTTTGTCGAAGAAAATGGAGAGAGCGATTGAGACCGATTGAGAGAGTGAGAAGGACGAATTACCTTATAGAAATTCTATTTTTAAAATTAAAATTTCGGAAAGAGAATTTATGAAATAATAGTATTTTATATTTTATGCAAAATAATTTATTGAAATCTCAAATGACGAGTTGTAAATTAAAATTCCACGTGTTTTAATTATCGAAGAAATAAATTTAAAAAATTAAATTTATTATTTCGACACTTAATATTTTAATGACTAATATTAAATTCCTAACATATCTTCCTTTTCCCTCCCTCTAAGTCTCGGGAATCTAAAGTTTTAGATTTGTATAAATATGAACAAGACTTTAAAATTAGTTTGCCAAAGAAGTTTCACTTCTGCCTTGCGATTCTGTAACTCACTTTTGGAACTCGCACAGCGGTTTTTGCAGCGGCGGTCGCGCTCAAATCAGTCGTGAAAAAGTCATTTTACGATTTGACATTCTGTTAAGGAGGGAGCTTGTAGTTTACTGTTATCACAATTGAGCGCAGCAGGATAGTCGGGTGTAAATTGGTGCAGGAAAAATCGACTGCAGCTTATTTGCAAAATGTCTGTTATTTCTTTTTCCAGAGCACGGACACCGATTCTTTATAATTATAACATTGAGAAACAGCCAATTCCAAGAGTAGCCGAAATAAAAGACCTAGGGGTTCATTTAAACGTGGAATTAAATTTTCGGGATAACATAAAAATAATTTGTAAAAAAGTAAGGAATTTAGGGTTTATTTTGGTATGGCAAAGGATTTTAAATATAAAAGCGGTAATGCATAAAGATTGGATGAATAAATTTATGATTTGCCCAAAGAAAAAAAATTCTAATGTGGAGCGCATCCAAAATAAATTTATGAGATACATATACATGAGGTTGTATGGAGTGTACCCATTTTACCCAATAATGTATCCAACTTTGTTTGTCTTGGGCATGGTTGGATACAACAAGTTAGAGGTAAGGAGGGACCTCACTATCACGCTATATTTTTTAAGATCCTTAGAGGTAAAATATATAATGCGGAAATATTGGAAAGATGGGGTGGTGTGCCAAATAACCACACTCGGGGAGTAAGCGGTCGCAATTGCTGGCAGTGCTGGCGGACGAACTTACTTAGAGAAGCACCATTTAGGTGTTTTGGCACCCTAAACACTATTGCTAGTGAACGGATATATTTAGTTGCACACTGGCTGAATTCACAAGAATTTCATTATTTATAATTAGTTATAAAATTGTTTAGGTTTTTAAGTTTTATTGTATGGTAAAGAAGTAGAAAGAAAGAAAAAAGGAAATAAGGAATAAATAAATAAATGTGTGCTTTGTACGCACGGACTTTTTTACAATGTCGTGCGGTGAAATCTTTTAAGATATCCGGAATTAGACCCCCAAAATTATGTGTTAGGCAGAAGGCCGATGAAATTAAGAGAAAATGATTCAGTCTACCACAGATGCAATCTAAAACCCATGTGCATGTACCGCTATTATATTTTTTATTGATTATACTTTTAAACTTCGAAAATAATATATAATATAGGTTTGTGGACTCAGTTTCCGCACTTAGACTATATATAGGTCCGTTGGGTTCAAGTGCACAGGCGCTAATTAAAGATTTAAGTTAGCGCCTGGTAGATAGTACCGGTGACCCCAGAGCTGGTGCTTTTCTCGTTCAATAAGTATCGTAGTACAATGCTTAAAAGCTACACAGCCTGGGGGCCCAAACTTTTAAGTTTTCTTTATCCATTTTTAATAATTATTATTATTCTTAACCTAGTAACCTGTAAATTAAAAAAGCAGTGGTGCTATAACTTTTAAGGGCTAGCCTCAGTTCTGTTTGGTGATCATTTTTCCAATAGGCACGTCAATCGTCTGCTGTGCCTGACACACGCCGTTGACTTTTTGGTTTCTCGAACGAGTGTTAAATGCGCACATTGGAAATCCATTGATGCACAGTGATCGAACCTACGACCTCAGGGATGAGTGTCGCACGTATTTCGTATTATTAAAGAATAAAGTTTTTCATTAAGTTACTTTTATCGAGTTTTTGACACACATACTTTAGTGATTCATACACGCAATCTCCTCACATATATAAATAAAATAAATGAGTGGCGCTACAACCTTTTAGGTCTTGGCCTCAAATTTTTGTATGCACCTAGATCAGCGTCCTGTGCTTGACGGCTGACACACGCCGTCGACTTTTTGTCGTGTGTTTGAATGTGACATGAAAGAAAGAAAGCCGGGAATCGAATCTACGACCTCAGGGAATTGAGTCGCATGCTAAAGCCACTAGGCCAACACTGCTCCTATATATAATCTCCTCACATACAGTAAATTCATCAATGTCATAAATTTAGATTTGTAATATGTCTAATAAATCAATTTCCTACCTTTGCATAACTTGATATCCGTTCGTAATTAATGGCTTTCCGATCAGTTAGGCGATTAATTTGATCTTGATGGTCCACGTTATTCATTGCGTAAGAACTTTAACACAACAATTGCTTTTTACATTAAAATACACTAATATAATATTTTTTATTTGAATTTGCCTCAGTTGGAAAATGAGTATATTAAAATTTACACATCCTACATATTATTGGTGGTGGTAAAAATTGGGTATTCAAGTGGAGTTGAGATAAGTTTAGATAGAATAGCTGAGAATGCCTAGCTCGAACCCCCGAGGGCCCATATTAAGGGCGTGTGAAGGGCTGAGGTGTTTTAATGGGTGGGGTCTAGCTACCCCTCTGAATAGTAGAGGGATTTGAGTGTAGACCCAGCCCCACAGTCCCCGCGTCAAGCTCGACATCCTTGATGCGAGCCTGCGTAAGAGCATTTTCACCTCATATAAAAATAAAATGGGGCACGGATTTGGAGAAACTTTACACCGTGCAAGAGCAGTTTTGGCCTTGTGGCTTCAGCGTGCGACTCGCATACCTGAGGTCGTAGGTTCAAACCCCAGCTGTGCACCAATAGACTTTCTTTCTATATGCGTATTTAACATTTGCTCGAACGATGAAGGAAAACATCGTGAGGAAACCGACATGTCTTAGACCCAAAAAGTCGACGGCGTGTGTCAGGTGTCACTGGAGGCTGATCACCTACTTGCCTATTAGATTTAAAAGGATCATGAGGAACCTAAAGAGGTTGTAGCGCCATTGATTTTTTTTTTACACCGTGCAACGCTTTGTGTAATCCTGGGCACGCAGACGCTTCAGCCTCCACTGGGGTTCACACGGGTTCATGCGTCTACAAGAAGCATTCTACTCGACCCCAGCTTGACAAATCAGGGCAAAGTCCATTCACATCATTCGTGCCTATAGAGGACCGTGCTGTTACCCTATCCTACCTGGGGCGAGTTCCACATAACCCTTCACCACGAGGCAACCGTACCGCGAGAAAGTATGCGTGACGCATTTCCTCACCAAAAAAAACATGGGTCCATTGCACCTCACGGACCGACCCCACGTGACCGACACAACCACGTGACTTAAGGAATTTCCCCGGACGATCCTGTAAATTAATTTCCCAAAAAAAATGAAGGTCTGAGATCTGCAAGCACTGGAGCTAACCTCCCCCATCTCTATATACCAAGGCGGGTGTGGAGATTTGAGTACCAAGGGTCATCACAAATCATTCTCATAGTCACGGAGAACCATGAACGGCACATTGTGTGACAGGGCGCGGACAAGGCTCCGCTGTTACCGCGCCGTTACGTATTGGTTCGGAAATACTTCAGTGTGCACATAATGGCGCGGCAGAAACTGCCTTAAGAAACGCTCAATTGTGGAACGACGGACGTCGAGGTGATACGGGAATTTTGTATGAACATCTTTGAAGACTCCGAGGTACATGCGGGAGAAGATAGAGAGAGACCACATCTCTATACAACGCCTTTAGTAAGATGTTTGATTGAGATAATTTAAAAAGTTGGTTCTTTTAATAGTCGCTAGATTAAAATTGCAAAGACGATAAATTAGCGTAAGAATTCTTATTCCCCGAAGTCTTAATTTGCCTGTGAAATATGGACGTTGCTTATCACCGCCACAGGATAAATCAAACAGTCGGGTATCTAAAGGACGGTTCCTTGATATGTATACAATAAGATTCTTATAGGATGTAATTTTTAGTGCATTTTCAATAACATATGGACCTCAAACATGGGCACCTACTAAAGCGCAGCATAGAAAGCTACAGGTGTATCAAAGAGCGATGGAATGATGTGTGAAAGGGAAGAAAAGAATACATCATTAAGAAGAATGCTATCATAGTATGTTACAATAAAAATGAAACAAAACTTAAGTAGAAATGAGCGTGGGAAGAGGAACAGAGTAATGAAGCAAGAAAGTACTAAACTGGTGCCCAAGGTACAATAAACGTAAAAGAGAAAGACAATTTAAAAGGTGGATAGACCAAATATAGGAAACAGCAGGTACATGACAGAGAGTGGCTCAGTGCAGAAAGGAATGGCGGGATATGGAGGTGGCCTTTGCCAAAAAGGGCTAGCCCTAAAATCATGAGATGAGATAAACTATGAGGACTACCATATAAGTTATGTACCACAAAATTAAAATAAACTTATACAAAAATAGATTCATTGTATTTTATTTTTAAAATTAAAATAATATTTTTAAGGACTTCAAACACACTTTGTAAAAAATCACATCAATAACATTTAGAAAATCAACTGTTTGCGATAATCTGTGCCACATTCTAATTGGTATCAAATTTCCTCGACTTCTTGATTTATAAACTTTTTTTAATGGAGTAGCTACAACTTCGAAGAACCCTTTTAATTTAAAATGATGAATTAGATTATTAATTTCCCTTTTTTATTATTTATATTGAATTTCATCAAAATTAGACTAGATGTTTTATTAATAATATCAAAACTATAACAGTAAATAAAAAAATTGAAAATAATAAACGGCAAAAATTTATCTTTCCTTCCACTTTGATTTTGTTGCGCTAATTAAAGATTTAAGTTGGCGCCTGGTAGATAGTACCGGTGACCCCAGAGCTGGTACTTTCCTGGCTGAACCAATAAGTATCGCAATACTGCCAGCGTTAAAGGTACACTACCACAGGGACCAAACTTTTTAAATTCGTTTTAATTTTAATTTTATATTTATAAATTTTGAATTATTATTATTACTATTTAGTTTAAGAACAATGTCAATAATATTAATAAAATGTCATTATTATATTTAAAATACAGATGTGTATATTACTTTAAGAATCCCTAAGGTAAGGTAGGTGAGGGCAACCGGGTCTACAGCCACGGGGCCTCCACAGAAGAAGAAGCCTCAACAATAGAGATTTCGTTTTTTTTAATATTGACTAATAAACAACTTTTCTTTTGATATATTTATGTTTGTTAAATACTAAAAGAATCTACTTGGTTTCACAATAATGGTCTAAGATCCCGATATACGACCTTCACCGAGATGCTTATTTAATGAAACGTATTTTATATTTAATTTAATATGTCAATAAATATAATCCACATGGTTTGCCTAGCAAATTTCAGTCCAGAGTATTTTAATTAATATTTAAAAAAAAAATTTTTTCAACATTTCACCGGTATGATTATTAGATAAATTCTATACCAATCGAAAGTATGAAGCCCATAGAATATGCAAACGTTAGGTTGTTTTTAATCAATTAATTATTTATGTGACACTAAAGTATATATACATCTTTAGTAAAAAAGAAAGTTATAGTGATACATATATAATACTACCCTGATTAAAAATATTGATTGACAAAAACTAAAAAATTTACTACATGCAAATTATAAAAACATATATTTTTTTAAATATTAATTAAAATACTCTGGACTGAAATTTGCTAGGCAACCCATATGGATTATATTTATTGACATATTAAATTAAATATAAAATACGTTTAATTAAATAAGCATCTCGGTGAAGGTCGTATATCGGGATCCTATACTATAAATTAATGATTGAAAAACTCGACTGAAAAAACTTATTTTTATTTGGAAAGTAATTTGGGGCCTGGGGCTTCTACTCCTTTGTTGCCCCGAGTCCTCCAGGCCTCTTAATCCGGCTAATGTCTCCGGATGTGCACCAATGGACTTTCTATATGCGCATGTAACACTCGCTCGTACGCTAAGGTAACATCGTGAGGAAAGCTTAGACTTTTTTGTATAGAACATACGCACAATGTTAATACACGGAACAAACGCAGGCTGCAATTTCCCCGTACTAGACTATCTAAAGTTAGTAATTCTTTTTTGGGGAAAGGGATACTCTTCTTTAATAAAATCCCAGAGGCTCTTTTTCACTGCCTTTCAATAAATTTAAGAAATGTATTAAAGAAAAGCTGTGTAAAAAGGCTTACTATAAAGTCAACGATTATCTAGTTGATAAAAGGGCCTGGGACTAGTGCTAGACAGGCTACTTCTAATTAATTTGCGATATTTGTTTTAAATAAGTGTTGTTTGATGATTTGCTGTTTTAAAAGAGTACCGAGAGTTTTTTACGCCGGCTTTTTCTCTCGGCCTACACCCTCTGTCTTCTTTGCCGATGAGTAGGGATGCCTACAAATTGAAATTTAATGACGTGGAATAAGTGATACATGTATCTTATGTTCCATAATAAACATATTTTATTTTATTTATTTTTATTGTATAAATCCATCTTAACGCCGATTGTTAGCAGATCAGGAGAATTGACTAAATATTTACTGAATAATTTTTCAGACCCGTACGTGAAAGTGTGGCTCCAATTCGGGGACAAGCGTATAGAGAAACGCAAAACTGCAGTATTTAAATGCACACTCAACCCAGTGTTCAACGACTCCTTCTCCTTCAACGTACCCTGGGAGAAGATCAGGGAATGTTCTCTGGACGTCCAGGTTATGGACTTCGATAATATTGGCAGGAATGAGTTGATTGGACGAATATTGTTAGCTGGTATGTACCCTTTCTGTAATTAATATAGGATTGTCCCTAACCACGCTTGTTTGTTTTTGAAGTTCATCTTTTGGCGCGTTAGGAAAAAATGATGAGAGTAAATTTTTACGATGCGCGCGCACACTGTCACAAAAAACCGACACCCTGAAGTTAGCTATAGACAACATTTTTTCTTTCTATTGTTAGTGTCGTGTTTTCTATAAACGTAGAAAATTTTTTTTGAAAAGATTTTGATCTTGCTACGCCAAAGAAGTATAACTTCTAACGCGTGTACATTACACACGTTTTTTTTATATGTAGTGACACCTAAAATTTCCGCCCAAAAACAATAGGAAGACTTCATTCGTTATTAAGGATATATACAACTCCTCGATTTCACCCACTGGGGCCACTACCATAACACACAGGATGAAATTGGCTTCCACACGCCACTTCGACAAGGCCATACCAACCCGTTGGTGGGTAAAAGCGTCAACAACCCTTTCCCGATAAAAAAGGCCCCTAGCTACGCTAATCGCGGGAAAATGCCCATTCCTGGCGAGCGTAGCTCAAGTACCTCAAGTAGCTCAAACAGCCCAAGCTGAGCTGACAGGGCCCTTCAGGCCAACAGCAAGATTCCATTCCCAAAAAAAAACAGACCTTCGAGCCAGTCAGTGATTAAACTAATCTAAGATTAAATCCCCATATATTTATCAGAAATAAAGCGTTAAAGTATGATGGTCCTTCACTTACTATGAGATTCCTGGCTTAATTATTTTTGGTGGTACATTCTTTAAATATAGTAAATATGGAAGATGTGTCAGTCCCATTGGAGGCTTCTGAAATGACGTGCTAATACTGTTCGTGTCTAAACGTACGTAAAGTTTTACAACGCCTGTCAAAATAATGACAGATTTGCCAGTCGTTTATTCTAGGACAATCAGATACTCATGAAATATGGTATTGAAACACTTTCACATGTGAGTAAGATGAAAACTTAAGAAGGCGCCAACCATATCCAAGCAATTTCCTCATAATCGAGTAACCCGTAATATCGCAGCACACAACTCATGACTTTGTATTGAAGAAGTCGCATGGGTTCGCTCTGTCTACTAATATACAATGTAAATACATAATTATGTAGGAATAAAGAAAATAATAATAGCAAATAATTACACCATATGGAGTTGGTGAAAATTTCCACCGAGTCATTTTTCACCACAGTTTTATTTGTTGTATTTACGGAAGGCATTTACATTTTCATTGATTTTTTTTCAGGAAAAAACGGTTCTGGAGCGACAGAAACAAAACATTGGCAGGATATGATTACGAAGCCACGACAAACCATAGTGCAGTGGCATCGCTTGAAACCAGAATAAATTGTTAAAAATTTAAAAAAAACGTCATAAGACTGAACGGTTAAATATGAATTTCACTTCTTGAATTTCCAATGTCGGAATGGATGTGCCAAATTTTTATCCTTTTCTATAAACTGAGTACATGAATTGTCACGCCATCTAGTTTATATTTTCAGAAGTTCGCCTTCAAGATTCCTTCATTAACAAAGTGCCCTAAATTTTTTTATCCATTTTCATAAATATGTTGCCACATCCATTTCAGACATAATCTTCATGATCATGACACTAGTGCTGTGCTACGCAAATAACAGTTCTATAAAATCACTGCTAGTCTGTGATTTTCAGGGTTGCTTAAAAATAGAATAATAATTTTTAGTGTGATCACGTTAAGATTTTTTTAGAAAAAATGTATTTATACTAAAATATTAAAACCGAATTGTATCTATATTTTTAAATAACCCTGACTAGCACAATACTCAAACACCAATAATGTAGTAATATGTCAATTCAGTTATTTGACGCAGAGCACTAAACGTTACATTGCTATGACACTAATCTTTGCAGACTTTAGAAACCCTCAAAGAGCGCGTCGCAAGTCTTTTACGTGAGAAGGCATTTTATGCCTTGTGGAGTTTTATATTTTACGATAATTGGTATATAGGTAGAAATAGTCTGTACATTGCTTAAATATAACTACAATTACAGCTAACGGCTCTTTGACTAAGATTAGAAAACGTTTTACATTAGTTAAATTCATTTGTCAGTCTTCAAACGCAACTAAATGAAAAAAAAATACAGTTATAATTTTAAAAAATGCAATATGTGCGTCTTTTAATCATACTCTAAGAGCAAATCGATAAAATATAAGGCTCCCATATTAATCGACTTAAGTTAAATTGTTCTAAACTCTAACAAACATGCAATGATCTGATAATATTAGACCCTGGGCTTGAAACAAAATTACTTTTCGACAGGCGTGACTCACTAACCTAACTATTGTATGAAAACGGTCAAGTGACATATAGAGAGCTAATGTCATTACAATTTCGTTTGGCGTTGTTATGTGATACCTGTCAAAAAGTGATTTCATCACAAGAATCTTGAAAACTATCCCAACACTATTAACTTAAAGCGATTAATACCTTACTCTTCTCTAAAATTGACGTTTTAATATAAGAGTTGAATTGAGTCAATGTTAAATTATAATTAGAATTGTCTATTGTTACGGTAGGTATTGTAAAATGAAAGTCGAGTTCGTATCGCACAAAATGAGTAGTTTTGACGTTTCGTCATGTTATGTAGAAACGTCAGTGTCAGTTCAGTTTGACAGTCGGTGTTATCGAAACTTTTTACAACAAATTAATGGCGTGTATCTATTTTCTTATACGAATTTACTGTAATACAAAATTAAATATAGTTTATTTGGAATTTAAAATAACTTTTCTCATGTTTTAGTGATCTTAAAATGGACTAAATGAATAATAATGATTTTTTGTGTTTCCTTAATAAATTAATACCAATGTCGTATTAAAAGTTTTGATACCACAGACAATTTATTTATTCGTTGCAAATAGTATTTAGAAATGTGGTTAAATATAGAAACGTAGAATAAAATTTGTAGTTTAATAGTTAACGTTAATTTTTAATTACAGGATTTATAATTTTATGTATTCTACTTGGAAAGTTAATATTAAAATAATAGTGAGATTCTTTATTGTTATAGTTATTTTAATCATTGATGTTTGAATTTTCTAAAGTTTTATAGTGTTAAACAATTTATATTGTTTTCTATTTTGACAGTTACACGAATAGAAACTCAAGCTTTTTTGTGTCAAAAATGGAAAAAAATATAAATTTGCATAATTAATAATATAACAATATTGTTGTTATAGTTAGATTAGAATTTGTGTAAAATCAAGTTTAAATCCACTGCAATTAGTTTTTCTGTAGCGCGTTATAATCTTGCAATATAAAATTTTATAATAAATACTTTTTAATATCAAAAAGTTGCTTAGTATTATTTTTTTTTTAATTTTTCTAGATTGCAGTGGAAATAAAATGTGAATAATATTGAGCTTGAAATAATAACTAAATTGTTGACGTCATTTTCAATAACTATCATAATCATGGATACGAAATCTCTTTACATATATCAGCCAAAGTTTATAAAATGTCAGCGCAAGGGCAAGAAATCAATTTCCATACAAACTTGGCAGGAGCGTAAAGTACTTAGACATCAAAACCTATTTATTGAGATTGGCAATATCCAGATGTTATTGAAAGCGACAAAATGTAAAATTATTCTAGATAGTACGGGCCTTATTGCGTCACCTTCTAGTTATATCTCTGTCTATTACATAATGTTAGATAAAGACAACATTAGTCGCAATGACTAGGTTGAATCTAGAACAGAAAGCATATTTGGGAACTAGACTAGCTCAGGTTCGTAGGGCTGTCCAATTTACATTTGCCAATGATACGATAAAGTATGAACTTGTCAAGAATTTAAATTAGTAAATTACTGTTTTTGTTCAGCATCTGAATTTTTGTGTTTGTGAGTATTTTTTTAAATAAAACTTATTAATTATAAAGAAATGATAAGTAGTGTTGGCCCAGTGGCTTCGGTGTGGGACCCTGAGATAGGTTCCATACCTGGCTCCGGCTTGATCGGTGAAGGAAAACATCGTGAGGAAACCGCCTTCGGGTCTAAGGCAAGCGCCTTAGATCCAAAAAGTCGACGGCGTGTGTCAGGCACAGGAGACTGATCACCTACTTGCCCATAAAACTGAAAAATGATCATGAAACAGATACAGAAATCTAAGGCACAGACCGAAAAAGGTTGTAGCGCCACGGATTTATTTTTTATATAAAGAAAAAATGTTAATTTTTATTCGTTAGTTATACAAATCGAAATTCACGATAAAAGAGACATTTCCATGACTTATAAAATATAAGGTATTATTGTTTTGTTTTACTCTAAATTTACTATGAATCTCCTAGTCTCTGGCATAATGAACGTCATTTCGTTTTTTGGGACAGCCCTATCGTTGAAATAAGTAGTACTGAAGTACTATATTTTTTACCGTCGTGTTTATCATGTTTTGAGAGCTCCTGTATAGAGAATGCTTTTGAATTATTTTTGCTACGCATTTTGGAGAGTTTATTTTTGTGTATGTATGCTATCGCTTAGAACGGTGTGAAGTGACTTCTTTAAAACAATTCAAATCATTATTTTTGTTGATAAAAGCTTGCCAGCGCTCGGCGCAATACATTGGTAAAAGTACCACAATATACAATTTTAAATGTGACAAGCACTTAAAGGCAAACATGACATACACGATGAGATAATACAAATATTAAACAAAACATAATCAAAGTTTTAAATATAATGACTTTAAAAGTACTATATATAATGATTGATTGTCAGGAAACGGGAAACAGAACATAAGTGAAAGGCAATGAAACTGTTTGTTCGAATGTTTTGACAAGCATTTATTGTAACAAAAATAATATTAATAATAATTAACGAACGGTTTTTTAAATATATGACGTTAACTGCAGCGATCAAGAAAGGTAAATAAGGCAAAATAAAAAAAACTAGGAAAAGCCTTAAATTTATGTATGTAACGTAGGGGCACAAGAATTTTGAAAATGCTAAGGTTGGGCATGGCGCAAAAAAGGTTGGGAAACACCTAACCTCTAAATTATGGTTAATATTTTCTGGTCATTGATTAAACATCGCTTTGCCTAAAAAGGAATGGAAACTTAAAAGACTTTTCCAATCTTCTATATATATAAAAGAAAAATGGTCTTCGTTTGAGGCTCCTTCACGCCTAAACCACTGATCGTATCGACATGAAACTACCACCATTCGATGCGATTTTTCCTAGATGGTTTATGGCTATTTATTTATTAAATTCCAACGTTCCTTCATTTTTTTATTGCTGTTTTACTTTTATGAAAATTTATCCATACGGACTTCACCGCGGAAACATTCGGGGAGGCTTCCTAGAACCTCTAAACGTCAACATCTGTTAAAAACTCGATTTTCGAAATATTTCAATTTTCTTAGCGGGAAGTTAAAAAGAAGAATAATAAAAATATGAAAAAAAATAAAATAATGAAACATAAAATTTATTTTAATTCGTCCAGCAAAGCGGGCGCGAAACGGCTAGTAATCTATATAAATAAAAATGAATTGCAAAATATGTTGCTAAGCGAAAAACTCGAAGACTGCTGGAACGATTCGAGTTTTTTTTATTTCTTCCTTCAACTGTCAGGAAGTATGGAGAAATATGAAAAATTGCAAGGAAAAGCCTTAAAACAGGTTCAAAAAAATCTCATGAAGGTGAAATGAAGTTGGCGGAGGATGCTATTAATAAAACACAAGATTTATGTCGTTCAATACAATCTAGAGATTCGAAGAAGCTCAAGTTAGCACTCACGATCGATACTTAACTTAGCAATGACTTTCGTTTATCAAGATCCATTATTGTCCTACGGGAGTCACACCTAGTGCTCTAAGCACTCCTGGAATCTTACGATTAATTTCACGAAAGCCTACAGAATTAACAAAATTTACTTGTTGTAATGAATACCATAGTGGTATTAATTACAACGGAACGACACATCAAACAAAAAGCATCTTCGTCGTCATTTGATTCTCTGATTCTCCACTCTTTTCCTCATATTGTGATTATTTAATGCTATTTTTGCATTTACATAAACCCTTAAAGATTAATTCAGTTAAATAGTGTCATACATTAGTCCAGACAATTGGGCTAGTGGCTTTACCGTGAGATTCTCTTCTTTGAGACCTATATTAGACCCTCTGTAAGCTGCAGATATGGAGTTTTTATGTGCACACTTAATACTCGCTCATACGGAAAACCTTTTCCTTCCGGCGTTAAGACTCAAAAAATATAGAAATGCAGAAATCGAAAAAAGATTGTACCACTGGTTCTTGTTAATTAATCCAGGCAATTAACTGTTCGCGGAAGGTACAAAGCTTGGTTTCCCTATCTATAAAGCACCTTTTAATTAAGAACTTATTAAAACCTTTTGTTTTGTTTTGTTTTGTTATAAAGAAGTTGCTTCACGCCAAAATAACTTCATGGGCATATCTCGTATAGAATTTTTAGTGTAAGTAAAATCGAAAGGTCAAAATGAGAGGAATTAAATTAAATGTACATATATAGATCTTAAACGTCATTGACATACTTCCGGATTCACTACCTCTTTTGTTTATGCATATTATTTTAAACCATAGATTATGGATTATGGTTACCACAATCTCTTATAGTACGAAATCTATGGAAGAAACTGCACTTCACGCAGTACCGATTTCAATTACACAATAATTACTTAAACCCGATAGATGAGACTCATTTTGAGTAAGCTGATTTGGAATCACGTGGAATACTCAATGCTGGAATCGGATTTTTTGAATCAATTGCAATAAGCGTAATATTAGACAATTGTTCGTTCTCGATTTCAATTCTCGGTCTTTTCGTGTTTACATACAGTGACTCCGTTCTCAATTCAGTTCACAATGGATTGATGGTGACTGGAATGGCATTTGAACAGAACATTGTTTCTTATTTTGTCACATTTTACCGAGAAAGAATGGTCATGGAAATGTCATTAAGTAATACTAAATAAATAGATATATTTTAAAGTTTTTGTCGCTTTAGAGATTTTTGGCACTTGCAGTAATAATATTATTTTAACTATGCATAGAATACTAAAAAAAATTCTCTTTGATATTTGGTTATGGTAACTGTGGTCGTGTATTATATATTTATTCATATTTAGTAAATACATATCATTAAAAACTCTTTTCTTTATTACATTATTTTTATAACAAATATTGAAAATTTCGATTACTTATAATACACTTATTTTTGTATTCTCATCGACATTTTTGCTCTGTACAAAGCGTTTTTGTTAAACTGTCACTCGTGTCAAATTTCGCGCGCTGTTCGATACCGCCTTTTGACATTTGTCGCTTTATCATGAAAAATCAGCTCAAAATGTCGTTTGCATTTGGTGTCTATTCTGTGCAATATCTGTGGTCTCGTTTTAGTTTAATATGTATTGTGATATTTTATGGAATAATACTGGAGGCATAGTTACAACAAAATTAACTAGTTAAACTGGTTTCTTGATTGTTAAGTATGTATAACTTTATTAATATGTTCAATGTTCTGTGTTTAATCAATTGTATCATTATATAATGCAAGTTATAATACGTTTACATTTTCATGACGCGTTTTATTCGTTACAGACCATAACTCGTGACTAGTGCTTAGTACTAGTTATAGTTACAAAAGCACGCTAATATCAAAATAATACATAATAGAATAATAAAACGCGTTTTAATTATGTAAACAATATTTTCTTATCTATAACATGTCCCCTTTCTTTCGCATCCTGCAATCACGTGAAGCTGGCAACACTTGCAAAACGATTCGCATTTTTAAATAAAGAACGAATAAGCTTTCTTTCAATACGCGAAGCTATTATAAACAATATTTTGAATAGCTGTGAAGTTAGCGACAAAAGCCTTTATCACAGATTATTATTGTAAAACGAGATCGTAACTAATATTAAATGTTATATTAGAAGAATTGTGATTTTAACACTATAGTTAAATATATCGTAAGATCAATGTTTAGATATAGTTGACAATGTTAAAAGTGTATTTATAGACTGTTAATCGCTTTGAAGATTTTTTTATGGTCTGTACGCATTATACTGTAACGAAAACCTTGACCACCTTTTTACGAAGGAAAAGTGTTGCTAATGACAAAGAATGAACTGAATGAATCAGTTTTTGCAGAGCACTGTTCAGGCTTATCATATATTTTTTTTAATATTAATTTAACTATTCTAGTTATTAGTTTGTGCTAAGGCTAAAGTACTACACTGGTACTTTTTTAAATACGCCTTAAAACTTAAAAATATTTAATATTAGTTCAAATATTTAAGGTATTAATTGTTTGTGCTAGGCTGTAACAGCCAATATTGCATTGTCAACTTCAGTGTAGAGTTATTGACGCGCGACCACCGCAAGCCCTGTTTGGTACAAAGGTGTCAGAATTTTTACCACTATTCGAAGTTACGAAGTATTACTGATCGTTAGTAAATATCAAATTTTTTTCCCCGTAAAACATTGTGCTGGCCAGTTATATGCACAATAAATTGCACAATTTATTGCACCATATTTAAATACTCCACACTCGTAAATTTAATACAGTATAATGTGTACAGACCCTTAGCATATTTCGTTTCTCACGGTGAATTAGAATATTGTTTAATATTACAATTTATTTATATTTGTATAGATAAATGTTCGTATTATACAAGTACGTAAGTGTTGACAATTATAATGATATATTCTGTATAATTATATGCGATTCATTATTCTCAAATAAAATATTGAGTTAAAGGGTTTTTTTAATCAAAAGGGTTCATCAAGGTATCCAAACCTTGATCACCTTGACAACACATATAAGTGAATGTAAATCATCTGTTAAGTTCTGTGCTATCTTTCTTATTGCCATCCTCCACACATGGAATCAATGACCCAACAAATGTGATATCTACCTAACTCTATTTGGCTAAATGAACGTTTTCGCCATACTAATTTAATCATAAAGTAGAATATCGCTATAAAAATTTATAATTACGGTGTTGCCTGGGCACAAATCTAGCTCTTAAAAATGTTTTAATAGATTCAGCGTGTGACTCTCATCCCTGAGGTCATAGGTTCGATCCTCGGCTGTGCACCAATGAATTTTCTATCTATGTGCGAATTTAACATTTGCTCCTACGGTGAAGGAAAACATTGTGATTAAACCGGCTTGCCTTAGACCCAAAAAAGTCGACGGCGTGTGTCAGGCACAGGAGGCTGATCACCTACTTGCCTATTAGATTGACAAATGATCACGAAACAGATTCAAATATCTGCGGCCCAGACCTAAAAAGGTTGGCGCTAGCCACTTATTTATTTATTTCTTAACAGGAAACCTCCAAATGTTACTTGTATTTAATAAATTTAAAAGGGCTTTGAAAATACTATGAGGCAAGAAGACTAAACAAAATTAAAACTGCGCTGTTGGTGACATCCAATTTGTATAATAAGTAAATAAAAAATATAAGTGTCATGTTGTTAATGAGAATACAATGCTCAGGGAAAGAAAACACAGTGTTAGAAATTTTGTATTTTTTATTGAATAACTTTTCTATTAATATCAATATCACATTTACTTATAACAGGCAGGTATTCAAGTAAAAAAAGGCCGATTAACTTCTAAAAAATAAAACTAATGTTTCTGAAAGAACAGGAAAAGGATGTGTCCGGATTTCAATTGTTCATTGTGCATAGAAACTAGAAAGCGGAAAGTTTTTTCAATTGAAGTTTCAAAAACGCATTAGGAACGGATGTCAGAATTGACAGTTGACAGTATTAACGCGGGGGCTTTTGTCACTAATTAATTTATTTTCGAATTTCGAACGTTACGAAAAATGTTTGCCGCGTGCTTATCTAAGTATTAATTTAGGCACTCTTTTTCTCGTCCTTCTTTTCTTCTGGGGGAGGAGTTGGGAGTTCAGGGTACTCCAATTTGACGCCATCCTCGCAGGTGAATTGTGGACAACAGCCGGGGAATGGAGCTGTCTTGTTTGTTTTTTCTGTGGAAGAAGAAATTTCAATCAGTAAAAACTGACAATTAGATAAAAATATAATACTAAATAATAAAAAAAACACACGCATGTATCCAAAACAATAATTGTTTCGCCGGTAATCGAAACGAGTTTCACTTCTTGCCTTAACAAGATCCTTTTGACATTTTTTTTGTCTCGTTAATGTTTATCAAATTCTTAAATTTTATTTCCTTTCTCGAAATATCCAAGAGTCTAAATAAAAAATCAAAATTTTGAAGTTATACTTGTTTAGCGTTATGAAATTTATAATGATTTTAGATGCGCGCACCGTGACACAAAATTAACAGAATGAAGTTGCCCCGGAAGATGCTACGGCATGTGGCATTTAAAACAACATTATGAATAAAAAAAGTTATGTTAACTTAATGTAAGAGAATAATAATAAATATTGTATTTATTTAATTTTTCAAATGTAAACTGAACTTGGTATTGACTATAATGATCCTTTTTCCAGTCTTTGATTATTTAAATGTAATTAATTACATATTTGCATGCAATCAAAAACTATTTTTTAATAATTCCTTGAAGTATCAACTTCTTCACGCGTCTACATAAAAATCTAAATAGATTTTTTATTTTGGGATATAATACTCAAAAACGAACCAGTATCAAGTTTGCACTTGGGGTTGGCCAATGGCAGAGGTCCACAGTCCTCGACAAGCTCCAACAGCCTTGGGGGCTCGTCTTCGCTGATGACACAGCTGCTGCGGCCACAGAATGGAGCCAGGTCCCAGGAGTTACCAGGTTCGACGGTCGCGCAACGAGTTGACGCGAAGCAGAGACCGGGAAAATCTGTTGAAAAAACATTATTAATTAATAACATTCATTTGAAAAAAAAATCTGATATTACGAGCCGTGAAGTGTTTAAGATTAAATTTATTAATATAACTACAAATATAATA